GTCACCGCTGAAACAAAAAAAGTTTTTCAATTGCTCCGTCAGACCATGTCCTCAGAAAATGTCTAAAATCTGCCCTGTGCCCATTGACCTTTGACCTCCAATTTCGGCACAGTGATGGCTTTTCCTACCATGATGCTATACACCGACTATTACAAGCCTAGGTCGAGCCGTTTAGATTTGTACCGCAATTCTGCATTTCCTCCCTATACCTTAAGTTAAGGAGTGAATGTTCCCCCTAATTTTACACCTATGGACGTTTGACCTTTGACCCCCAGCTTCGACATCCCAACTCGTTTTCGGATTACCCCCACCCACGTCTCGAATATCGTGACCGTACGTCGAGCGGTTAAGATTTGTGCCCAACTGTTGACGGACGGACGCACGGACGCCCGGACGGACGCACGGACGAACGATCATGCGATTCTACAAGCTGCATCTGACTACGTCAGATGAGCTAAAAAGGGGAAATGAAAGTGCATGCAGACAATAAACGCTATGTCAAACCCAGCTGAAAGTTGGTGACCCAGTCTTGGTCAAGCGCCCGTTCAACATGACCAAAGGAAACACCCCATACGAGACCACTCCACTGACAATTGTGTCCAAGAATGGTAGCATGATCACTGCCAACGGTGAAGGACGATGCGTGACCAGAAACAGTTCTTTCTTCAAAAGACTCTTGTTCACTCCCGAGTTACCAGAATCAGATGCACATGATTCAACCATCGAAAATGAAGGTAACTCAGTGCCAATGATGCGCATTGCATCCAGGGGTCAGTTAGACCTAAATTTGGAAAATTCAGATAAGTGATAGCTCTCATGAACCCACAGTCAATTTGGACAATACTGTGAAACCCAGATCTGCAGATGTCAGATCAGACAATGCTCCAGTGCACACAGCGAAGGTTGTCATAGATCAGCAAGAAACTCGCAGGCCAACCAGAGTCCGAAAACCTGTCGTAAAATTTAACCTGTGAAATTGACAGCAAGCTAAGACTTTGTTCACAACTATGTGTGGTGTGTTCAGAAGACTTTAGAGATAAACTATGGAGACTGAACAATATGTATTTGTGTTACAGTTTAGTGGTTACCAAGGTTCATCTATCATGGAGTAATCCGATCAAGTCTGGTTAAATGCGTTACAGTTTGAGTGACAGTGTAATCGAGTATTCGGTAATTGAGTAATTACCTCGATTAGCATTGATTAGTAAAGTTGGTTAGTTTTGACAAATCGTTTAATCGTCAAAGCCAGGATTTGTTTGTTTCCAGTTATCATACTGTTTGAACCTCAAGAGTTAAAGATTTTATAATTGACCTGTTTGGTGTAGTAATTGGTACATGTATCTTAAGTACCCCATGGAACTATCTACAAGGAAGGGGATGTCACGTTCAGTGATGTGTCTGGTGTTTGTGTTCTCTGCCACCAGGTGTCAGTACAGTACGACCACGAGAATATACGCTACACCATGTAGTCACGTTAATTGCATATCCATGTCTTCCTGTTGATGCTGTATCCAGCACAGTAAATAGAGAACGTTGAAGAGGGGAGAAGGGTACAGAGAGAGAAAGAGAGTGGGGAGAAGGGTACCGAGAGAGAAAGAGAGAGAGAGAGAGAGAGGGGGTACAGAAATAGAAAGAGAGAGAGAGGGGTACAGAGAGAAAAAAAGAGGGAGAAGGGTACAGAGAGAGAAAGAGAGAGGGGAGAAGGATACCGAGAGAGAAAGAGAGAGAG